CCGCCCTGGTCCCCGGCTCAGTATTGGAGGGGGCCGCCCTGGTCCCCGGCTCAGTATTGGAGGGGGGTGCCCTGGTCTCTGGCTGAGTATTGGAGGGGGCGCCCTGATCCCTGGCTGAGTATTGGAGGGGGGTGCCCTGGTCCCTGGCTCAGCATTGGGTGGGGGGCGCCCTGGTCCCTGCCTCAGTCCTGGAGGGACCTGGTCACCAGTATGGCTGTCCCGCATCCTCACCACCCTGCGTGTTCAAGATGCCACCTTCTTGAGGCTGTTTGGGGAAGCTGACAAGCTGATAAAACTGACACAGGGCGGTAACCCAGCTGGCCGGTGCCTGAGAGATGGGGCTGCCCCATGTGATGCCTTGTCGTGCCTCTGGACAGGTCGCCCAGCAGACAGTTGCTGTGGCCCCAATGCCATCCTCAGCCGGAGCCATGTGGGCGCCGGCCACTTTGTGCATGTTGCCTGGCCCGGCTGCCTTGGGGAGCCCTCTGGGCCACGTGCCATATGGGCCCATTGGCCAATGAGTGGGGCCATGACCCGCTCCCAGGCCAGCTTGCACAGCTGCCCCTTCACAGCTCCGCTGCATGAAGGGCTGGCCTTCTCCTTTCTCCGGGTCTGTAACAGCTAAAAGCTGTGCCTTGGGCCAGCACAGGGGCTCCTGCCTGTCATCCGGACACTGTGGGAGGCTTAGGCAGGTGGATCGCTTGAGTTCAGCAGTTCAAGACCAGCCTGGGCAACTTGGAGCAACCCATCTCCATCTCTGCTACAAACACAAAAATGAGTTGGGTATGGTGGCGTGCACCTGTAATCCTAGCTACTCTGGAGGCTGAGGTGGGAGGACGGCTTGAGCCCAGGAGACAGAGGCTGCAGTGAGCCGTCATCTCACCACTGCATGCCAGCCTGGGTAACAGAGCAAGACCCTGTCTCAAATAAAAGAAGTTACAGCCTCCTGCCTTCTGCACTTTCCTGAATGGGACCGAGCCCTGGAAGTCCAGCATGGCTGGTGACCCCAGGAGACAGGACCTGTGCTCCTCTCTTTCAATGCATGTGGGCCGCAGGTCCCTGTCCAGCTGTGCTGGGCTCACCTGGGGGCCGGTGGGGGACTCCCCTTGTGGGAGATGCCATGCCCTGGGGGCGTCATTTGCCCTGGGGGTAGAGGAGCGTGGAGTCCCTAAGGCTCCCTGCAGGCTGTGAGAAATCTCCCTGGCTAGGGAGGGGTGGGGATGGTGGGGGAGGGTGGCAGATACCCAGGCCTGTGGTGCTGTGAACCAGGACAGGTGCTGGTGTGGGGAGGACCTGGCAGGCCCCAGGGCAGTGCACGGGCAGGCTGGGCCCAGGCCTGGCTGCTGGGCAGGGGTGTACTTTTAGGGTGAGGGTAGTTCTTTGGAGGGTGGTCCCTTTTGCCTCCTGCCTGGGGGGTGGGCAGGCTGAGGAAATGGGGGCTGGGTAGCCCTGGGCGAGAGGTGCTGATGGTCTCTGTCCCCACAGGAAAGAATCTCTATACAAATGAATACGTGGCTATCAAATTGGTGAGTCGGCCCCTCCACCCCATCCCCGCTGGCGCACCCCTAGGGATTTCTGGGCAGCGACCAGGGCACCCAGTGACTCGCACCTGTGCCCCCAGGAGCCAATCAAGTCCCGGGCCCCACAGCTGCACCTGGAGTACCGGTTCTACAAGCAGCTCAGTGCCACAGGTACCGGGCAGCCGCGGGCGGGGCGGGGGCTGCGCAGGGGCAGGGAGGGGGCCGCTGCTGCACGCCTGTGCGTCTGTCGTCCGCCGCAGAGGGCGTCCCTCAGGTCTACTACTTTGGCCCGTGCGGGAAGTACAACGCCATGGTGCTGGAGCTGCTGGGGCCCAGCCTGGAGGACCTGTTCGACCTGTGCGACCGGACCTTCACGCTCAAGACGGTGCTGATGATCGCCATCCAGCTGGTGCGCGGTGGGCGGGACTGGGAGGGAAGAGGGCGGCCGGGGCCCAGCGGGGAGCACGTGGGCCAGGGGGCCGGGCACAGGCTGGCAGACACCGCTTTGCCGCCTGCAGATCACGCGCATGGAGTACGTGCACACCAAGAGCCTCATCTACCGGGACGTGAAGCCCGAGAACTTCCTGGTGGGCCGCCCGGGGACCAAGCGGCAGCACGCCATCCACATCATCGACTTCGGGCTGGCCAAGGAGTACATCGACCCCGAGACCAAGAAGCACATCCCGTACCGCGAGCACAAGAGCCTGACGGGCACGGCGCGCTACATGAGCATCAACACGCACCTGGGCAAGGGTGAGCTGCGCGCGCGCGGCGGGGGGCGGGCGCCCGGGCCCCGCTGAGGCTGCGCCCCTGTCCCCGCAGAGCAGAGCCGCCGCGATGACCTGGAGGCGCTGGGCCACATGTTCATGTACTTCCTGCGCGGCAGCCTCCCCTGGCAGGGGCTCAAGGTGCGCGAGGGCTGGCCGGGCGGGCGGGCGGGGCGCGGGGCAGGAGCAGGGCTAACCGCGGACCTCCGCAGGCTGACACGCTCAAGGAGCGGTACCAGAAGATCGGGGACACCAAACGCGCCACGCCCATTGAGGTGCTCTGCGAGAACTTCCCAGGTAAGTGGTCCCAGCACCCCCGCCCCCATCCCCACCCTCACCCTGCGCCCCCACCCCCACCGAGGCCCGGCTGGCGCTATCTCTGCAGAGGAGATGGCCACGTACCTGCGCTACGTGCGGCGCCTGGACTTCTTTGAGAAGCCTGACTATGACTACCTGCGCAAGCTCTTTACCGACCTCTTCGACCGCAGTGGCTTCGTGTTCGACTATGAGTACGACTGGGCCGGGAAGCCCCTGGTAGGTGCGGGCCCCCGGCGTGTGTGCGGGTGCTGCACCAGGAAACCGCCCTGAGGGGGATGGGAGGCGGTGCTGCAGCCCACCCTGACCCCGGCTGTCCCACCCACAGCCGACCCCCATCGGCACCGTCCACACCGACCTGCCCTCGCAGGCTCAGCTCCGGGACAAAGCCCAGCCACACAGCAAAAACCAGGTGAGGCCCGGGCGGGACGGATGCCCCAGGGAGGGGCGCAGGCTGCCAGCATGACCTCTCACTGCCCTCCTCCAGGCGCTGAACTCCACCAACGGGGAGCTGAACGCTGACGACCCCACGGCGGGCCACTCGAACGCCCCCATCACAGCGCCTGCAGAGGTGGAGGTCGCCGATGAAACCAAGTGAGGCTCTGGGGCAGCTTCCTGGAGTTGGGGGGGGACCCTGGGTCCCCATGAGGATGAGGGAGCCCAAGGCCTGGGTTGCCCCCATCCCTCCCTCCTTCCTCACCTGGGCTGCCCCCATCCTCCCCCCGTCCTCACCTGGGCTGTCCCCATCCTCTCCTCCCTCCTCACCTGGTCTGTCCCCATCCCCCCCTCCGTCCTCACCTGGGCTGTCCCCATCCCCCCCTCCGTCCTCACCTGGGCTGCCCCCACCCCCGTCCCAGTCTTCTTGACCCAGGCTGCCCCCGCCTCCCCCGTTCTCTCACCCTGGGCCACCTCCGTCCCTAGATGCTGCTGCTTCTT